CAGGATGCTGCGCAGAGCTAGGGCACAGAGTAAGGGCCCAAAGCAGATCGCGCATACCTCCCAACACTGTTTAGGTGCAACTCCCCCATCTCAGCAGGGAATGTGGCATGCAGCAGGGGGAGGGGAAGTGGGGAGGAAAGAAGGGGACCCATTCTCAAAACAAAGGCCCAAAGATAGAAAGTTTTTGTAAACTTGTCATCAGTGTGATAAACTATAAATAGGTATGGTTTTTTGGAGGGACAAGAAGTGGTCCCCAAAATAAAACCTGGTGTGGGGCCTGGCCCACAGAGTCACAGTCAGATGAGGCAACCGACAATGGCCTAACCAGGTTAGATCATCACCTTTACCTCATAGGCTGATTGGTAATTGGTAATTTAGTTCCAAAGCTCGTGATATTTGGCTGTCACCAACACACGAGTGGATTTCCCATGGATTTTAGTAATGACTCTGCCCATGAGAGAGAGCTTAAAAGCTCTAAAGGATGTGAGAGCTTTCCAGTGTGGGGCCCGGCCCATGGAGAAAGGCTCTGCCTTGGGCTGTCTGAAGACGTGAGAGCATCACTCAAGTCCAGGGAAAAGGGGAGAAAACCCACATGGGGCCTGGCCCAGTGCAGAGTAATCTCTGGAGGTTGCTCATCTGTGGTAAATGAGTTAGACTGGTGTTGTTTGCAAACCAGCAGTGACAAGTTTAGCAGCTCCTGAGTGTTGAGAAGTGAGTAATTAATCCAGGATGCAGTTAGGTCCTGAAAGGCAGGGGACTCACCAGCAGTCTCACAGCAGGAGATTCACCAGCAGTCTCTCTTCTGCCATTCACAGTCAGGAAACCATATGATAGAACCTTGGTGCAGCTGAAAAGATAAGAAGTATGAAATATAAATGACCTTTATTTTAAGAATGTGGGGAGAGACTCCTTGACCCTCTGGGGTCTGGCATTGTCTCTGGGGGCTGGCATTCTCTCTGTCAGACACATGGAGTAGGGGCATACATGTAACTTAGGTTTGGGGTGGTGCCTAAGGGTCTTAGTGATGCACAGGTAGCCCATTGGTATTCATTTCTCACCACAGGTAAATTCCTAGGGGTGGGGAAGATAGAGCCCCTTGGTTTTGCCTCCAAGGCTTTACCGGCTACAGTGAACCAAGTGGGGTAGAATTCTTTCACCCTGCACTCTCACAAAATAAATCAGCTCACATTAGTGCCAAGAGCTCTACCCCCATCAGAGCCTGTATCAGGCAGAATCTGCCCTGTATCTGCAGGAGAGCTGCCACAGCCTTCTCTGTGGTGATTCCCTCTGTGCACCCCCCATTAAACTCTTTTATTATCTACTTGTCTTCTCTCGTTTAATATTCTGCACTGCTCTAGATTGAGTACAAATCACTCAGTCAGTTTACCTCCCAAAACAGCTAGACACTACAATTAGAGGATGGCCTCCCTGCTTTCAGGCAATAGCAGTGACAACCATCCTGACACAAGAAGCTAAAAAGTTCACTTTAGGACAGACAATCACAGTCTACTCACCACACCACCTAGTTAATCTAATTTTTCAAAAGATACTCCCATCTCTATTGACCACATAACAACTACAACAAGTACATCTAACTCTAATACAAGACCCCATTGTCACAGTCTCAACCAGTAACACCCTCAATCCAGCCACCCTATTGCCCACTCCTACAACAGATACAGAGATATACTTTTCCTCTACAAGACTGCACAGATGTTTTCCAATTAATTCATGCTTCTTTCCCACATATACATGATTCCCCTCTCTCTATCCTACCTCTAGGCCCTACAAAACTCCGAGTTCTCCCCAAGTCACCTAATCAGTTAAGCCCTTTCAGCTTATGTATGGTAGACCATTTGTCTTACAAAACTTGCCTTCACCTTCTAATCTTCCTCCTTGAGCTCACCACATTTTGGTTCTCTCATTTCTCCAACAATATGCAGATGTTTACTTCCCTCAACCCTCAGGGACACACACTGAATCTTCCTTTATCTCCAGGATACTTTATCTATTTTAGAATTCTTAAGTCTATAGGTTCAACTCCAACTCTGAAACCTAAAAAAAATGGACCTCACCCGGTCTACCTTGGGACTACAACTGCAGTAAAGGCTCCTCTCACAGTTTATCCAAGCCAGGATACAGGTGTTCACTACCAAACAAATCCTATTACTGAGCAACATCTTGACCTTACAGACTGGGATGAAACAGATCACTCAATCCCATTCCCTTCTACCCAGGCCCTAACAATGTCACTTCTCATCAATAAGCAACCAGAGAGACTTCACAGCACACAGATACAAATTCCCTGTGATGAATGTGAGCAATATGTATGACAAATATGTACTAATAAAAAATTAAAGTTTAAAAACTAGAAAAGAAACAGGTGAAAATAAATAAAGATAGAAAATATATCCAAATTATTGTTTAGTTGTATATTATATTAATACATTTGCATTACATCCTAATAATTACAGTATTAAAACACAGTCCTCAAATTTTACAAAAGCTACTGAAGATAATTCTGTTTTGTTTAGAGACAGAAACTCACTATGTATTTCAAGCTGGCCTTGAACTCACTATGTTGCTCAGTCTGACCTCAAACTCACTGCAGTCCTACTGCCTCAGCCTCCCAAGTGCTGTAAGTACAGCCATGTGCCACTATGCCCAGCAATTCTTGCAGTAAAGCATTACTAGACCTCTGATGAATTGTCAAAGTCTATAGGAGATCAGAATATGCCACCCAAAATATAATTGATTGTGTGGAACCAGAATATGCCATCCCAAAATATACCTCTTAAGCATAAAGACTATTTTGAGACTGCACGTGTAAGAGAAGCTCTGAAAACAATAGAAGTTGACCTTTTGCAAGATAAATTTACATCTATAGCCAAAATGTCATTTGTAAGGATGTCTTCTCTATGCAAGGAAGAGGATGACTAACTCACTAGAGACTCTTAGTGGATGCTTCTTTATTGTTTGTTTCTTGGTCACATTCCCATAAATTTCCCTCTTTGTCTTGATTTAAAGTGGTATTTAAGCCTGAACTCTAATCACCTTTTGAAGATCAGTAATTTCTCTAGCTATCTCCAATGTAAATATGAGATATACACAGTAATGAAGTTCTTGGTTTTCCTCTTCTTAACCTGTCCTTTGTATCAGTGATCCATCCCAATTAAGAACTATGAAAGGCAGAAAGTAAATTATTTTTCGTCACCCTCAAAGCCAATATTCCAAAACTCATGCTTTGGGGATCAGGTGACAGCAGTCCTTTTCTTCCCTGTAAAAGCCTTAAAACAACCGTAGTTTGAGGCGTTCCTGTTATGCTTTTTCTAAGAAAGGCAAGGCCTATACTTTTGGGGATTTCCTCAAAATTTAGGGATTTATCATAAGATCATCAGCTACCAGTATCTAAGATGATAATCTATTCCTGCAAAAGAAAAGAAATAAAGGCCTTCTCAGAACTGTCACATGCAAAATGATGGGCACTGGCATTGTAAAGATGGTTGCTTCACATCACAGGTACCTTTTCAAACCTATGATGATTTATTTGTGAAATTATTCACAATGGTAAATATAAATTAACTCAAACTTTACAAAAATACTGATGAGAAAATTTTACTGAAGATAGGTAACCATATCTTGCCTCTGTTTTTATCACAAACTAGGAAAAGCTGTAGGGAAAGACAAAGCTCTGAACTTCTGCTCAAATACTATTTGAACATTTCCAAATATATTTCATACAATTGACCTGAATCAAAAATGTTGAACAAGATTTTTGTAATGGTTTCATAGTTTTGTTCTTAGACTGAGCTTTTTCCCTTGCTAAAATACTGTATTAATCAGATTTTCATATTTGTAACTGTTAGAGTCCCCTGCAGTGGGCCCCAGTCTTCTACCAGATGTTAACAGTACACAGCAAAATGAAAGAGCAGAGACAAAATGACAGTGCAGTGGTGAACTGGATGATGAGTTGTTCACAGGAACAAAGGCCACAAGCAGGTCAGTATTTAATGATCACATTGTCATTGAGGGGATGGTGAGAAGACTGGGCTGAATGTGCTAAACATATGGCCAGGCAGGAAAGGCTTGTAAAAGAGGGAACAAAGCATTCTTGTGAAAGGGCCTTGTAGCCAATTCTGGGAAGGAATTTTCTCACAGGCCTTAGTGGAAACATTATCTCATATCTTAGCCCCACAGTCTCATGGCCTGCATTTCTGGGCTCAACTTTGGCTGCTGACAAAAAACAATTTTAGCCCAACATCACCCCCATGCTATCATGAAAATATATACACAGCCTCAACCAGACTCACTAATTAGACTGAAAGCCAGTTTAAAGAAGTCAGCCCTATATGGTTTGTGCTGCTTGCTAAAAAGCACAATCACATTTGGGCCTGGGGAAGAGTGATGTGGCATCCTCCACATGTAACCAAATACTTGAGGAAACAATCTAAAGGTTTGTTTTGGCTGAGCTTCAGAGGTTTCAGCTGGCAGGCATATGTTCCATTGCTATGCGCCTGCAGCAGAGCTGTTCACCTCATGACAACTGGAAAGTAGCGAGGGGGAAAAGAGCCAGTGAAGAAGGGGTAAGGGATAAGATATAATATCCAAGATCATGTCCTTTTTTATTTAAGGAGAAAAAGAAAAAAAAAACAGAAAAAGGGTACGAGCTAAACAGAATTTCAGAAAAAATAAACAGTAGAAAATCACTAGTTAATAATGAAAGGGTTTGGCCCAGACGGGATACTGTAGCCGGTAAAGCCAAGGAGCTCCTATCTCCCCCATCCTTAGGAATCTACCTCTGGCACCAAACAAAGACCAATGGGCTACCTGTACATCCCTAATGCCCCCCTTGGGTTCCACCCCAAGCCAAGGCTACTTATGTGCCTCACTCCACGTGTTCCATGGAGAGATCGCCGGCCCCAGGGTAGAGATGACATGCCCCAGGGGGTGGGGGTGTCTCTCCCCGCATTCCCAAAATAAAGGTCATTTATATTTCATACTTCTTATCTTTTCAGCTGCAGCCAATCCTCCCCCCACAGTTCTATCATATGGTTCCCTGACCGGGAACAGCAGGTGAGAGACTCCTGGGGCTGGTTCCCAGTTTTGAGTTCCCTGCTGGTCAGGACTGACCAGACTGCATCCTGCATTAATTCCTCACTTCTACACTCAGGAGCTGTAAGCTTGTCGTTGCTGGTTCACAAACAACACCCACCAATTTACCACAGGTGAGCAACTCCCCGGAGACAGCCAATGGGCCAGGCTCAGGCAGATTTTCTCCCCCCTCTGCGTGGGTTCATGATGCTTTCATGTCCTTTGGACAGCCCAAAATGGTTTTTCTGAGCAAACCTGTGTCTACTCTGGACCGCCCACACTGAGAGACCCTCTCAGCCCAAGCCAGGGTCTTTCTGGGCAAGCCTGTGTCCACTCTGGACCGCCCACATTGAGAGACCCTCGTGTTCTTTAGAGCTTTTTAAGTTCTCATGGCAGAGCGGTTACTCGGCCCATGTAAAGTCTACTCATAATATTGGTGACAGCCAATTATTAGGAGTTTGGAACCATATTAGCTGTTCGGTCTGCAGAAAAAAGTGATGACTTTAGGCTTGGCAGACCATGGTCCGTTGCTTCATCTGATGGTAACCACGTGCGCTAGACCCCACACCAGATTTTATCTCGGGGACCACTGCCTGTCCCCCCCAAAATATCATACCTATCTAAGGCTTATCACACTGCCAACAAGCTTACAAAACACTCTTTGTTTTGGGAATGTGCCCTTTCCCACCAGCATCCCCATCCTTTGTCTCCTCCAGGATCCCTCCCCCTCCCTATACTTAAAGAGGTAACAGCGTCTTCCCTTGCAGCCTTTTGGAGCTTTCTCAGTGTCTCCTTTCCTCCTGGCTTCCCCTCCCCTCCACCGCGCTGCCAGCGTCCCTTTGTTTTCCATGTGTGCCAACCCATACACCGTCACTGAGATAAAAAAAAATGAGACCAAACAATGTTAAGAGATACACATAAAACTGCTTTAGATTTTAAACAAGCTGCTTTAGATTTTACACAGCTTTTTGGCTTTCACGCCGTGCCCCAATTCTGTGCAGTATCTGGACTCTCACACAGTGCTCCAGGTCCATGCAGGGTCAGCTCTAATGCCATGCCCTAATTCATGCGCCCCGCAAACAGTTCCAGCTCCACATGGCAGCTCAGCTCCGCGTCCAACCCATTCCCCCGCCGCAGCGGCCCATTCACACCAGCTCATTCCCCGCCGGGGTCGAGAGTGTTGAGAGTGTTGCGAGAGTGTTGAGAGATACACACAGGCTGTTTTAGGCTGCTTTTTGGGCAGCTTTGGGCTCTCGCGCACCACGGCCCCCAGCTCCATGCATGGTGTTTCAGCTCTCATGCCACCAGGTCCACACATGCAGTTTGGCTTTAATGCCATGCCCTAATCCACGCCATGGGTTCGGCACTTAACGCCATGCCCTGGGCCACCCGCCCCGCGAGCGGCTCCTGCAAGCACACCTCCGGGAGTGGCACCCGGCTTCAAGCTGTGTCCCAGTGTCTCTCAACCCCGCTGCTGCCGCCGCCACCACTCCCACCACCCTTCGTGCCGCATGCCACCAGCTTGGTCACCAGCAGCAAGCTCCTGCCGCCACCACAGCTGCTGCAAGCCTACAAGCCCCAACCCCATGTGCCGTCACAGCTGCCTTACATGTTTCCAGGCACCATCCCAGGCCCTCCCTCCTCCGTGTGCCATCATCTTGCTGTCTTATGCATCTACAGGTGCAATCTCAGTCCACCCCTGCGTGCTGTGTCACGGCACTTACCCCGCCCACTCTTCATGTTCCACCTATGCGCTGCATGCCCCAGCCCCCAACCCCAAGCTCCAATATGCTCTCTCTACAGGTGCGCTCTGTCTGTCTCAGAGTTTCAAACTGCCTTGGACACTGCGCATTTCCCAGACAGGCTCCTCCCAAATACAAGCGCTACTTTAAACACAGACACAACACCTCGGCGACTCCGCTCAGACATGATTTTTTTTACAATTTGGCTCTGCTCAGAGATACTATTTTTTTATTATTATTACAATTCTCAAACTATTTAATCAAGGTTAGTGGCCACCTGGTAATTTTACCAGCTTTGTTTATCCATTAAAGCCTTCACTAATTTCCTGTTTTAACATTTAAAATTAAGAGATATTTATCAATGTCTTTTGCAGTGGACCACCAGTAATGTTCTCAACTTATTGCCTCTATTGTACTGTGTTGGCGCTAATCTCCTGTTTAACAACTAAAGTTATAAATTCCTTTTTGCTGGAAACCACTAGCTCTGTTCCAAGACAAGGGTTTTATTAAAAGTTTTAGTATTGTCTGACAAACAAAAAAAAGGTAATTGACTGGTAACTTGAGAGTATATAGTAAGTTATAATAACTTGACGGTATATTTGTCTTGGTTAAGACTTGAGGGTATGTAGAAAGTTATATAAGGCTTGAGAGGATGTAAGTTGTAGAAAGCTTGAGAGGATGTAAATTTTACTTGTCTTGGTCTATAGTACTGCAAACAATAGATTTAAAAACAACTAAATATGTTCAAAATTTGACAGTATTAGATCAGTTTTAATAGATTTATTCATAAGACTGGTAAACCTTTACTGCAAAATGTTTCCAATAAAGCCTTTTTTGGGCAGACTAAAGCCTTTTTTTGGGTTAATTCCATGTGGCACCCTATAAAAAAGTGATATGCCATCCAGATAAAGCCTGCTCTCTGACCTAAAATGTCAATATTAAACTCCTGCATACTTAATTCTACAGATACCTTTTACTGTAGTCCAGATCTCAAACAACAAGGCAAAACTTGACCTTCAAGCTCCACAGAGACCTTAATATGGCTTTTCATATTTTTACTTATGACACTTAAAGTTCTGAGACAGACAAACCTACACAAGGTGGAGCTACCTGCCCCCCCATGGACCATGCTCAAATACAACAGAAGACATCAGGCAAAAGAGTGCCTCATCCTGGCATTCTTTGAGACCTTACTCCAGGGCTTCTGGGCTGTCCTGGCCACCAGAGAGTGGGTGGGCCATCCTAACTTCTAGCCCTCACATGACACTGCCAGATTCATCGCTGACAAAAATTGCTGCCAAAGACTGAGAGGGGCTAAGGGCCAACAACAGCCCCCTTTGTTGGTGTCCGTCTCAGAGTCCAAGTCACACTAAAACTCTCAAAGTAAGACATTATCTATATTTGTGGACATAGAGGCCATATGTACAGAGTTCTTCCTGAGTTTTCAGGATGCTGTATTAAGTCCTCAATCTCTATGATGGGGTATTGGAGGTCAACCTATGCCATTTACAAACAGGGCCTATTTTGTATAGGTCCCAGTCCTAAATCTTAAAAGGCTTTTATTCCCTTTTACAGGCTGACAGATTTTGTCTTCTCACTTTGTTTATACTTTTTCAGGATACATAAAAATCTTTCCCACAACCAGGGAAACTGCTGATATACTTGCTGAAGTTCTGTTACAGCAAATCATTCCAAGCACTAAGATGTTAGACTGCCATTCTGGTTTCGCATCACTCAGGCCCCAGATCTAACCAACCTTTTCATACTCATCTATGCCTTAGCAAGGCCTCATGGCCACGATTCGCAGGTTGTCATGTTTTGTTATCCACTTTTGTTCCTAATTTCTTACGTTCTATTAATGATCATTTTTACAGCAAGACTCTTTAACAGTATTGCCTACAGACTCCAATGTCATGCATACCAGAGAAAAGCCTTACTGACTTACCTTTTAACTTCTATGCTTTCAGATGGGGGAGTAAACATCTCTCATATCTTCACTCCTCCTAATCCCACATTTAATTTTCAGAATTCTGCCTTACCGTGGAAATGTTTCTACCTCAACATGGTCCTGATAGAATGACATGTCTAAATCAAAGACACCTTTCCTTCTACCTCATCTGGGTAATTAAATATGATAGTGCCATGTCTCCTTATAACATCTTGTCTCTTTGTTTTTCCAGTCTAACATATGTGCATTCACCAGTGAAGTTGTCCTGGCTAAAACACCTGACACCAGTTTCTACCTGGACATCAAGTGTCATCCCGTCAACTCCCCTAGACCCCAGTACAGGGCCCTCAGCCAGCAGGAAGTAGTTAAAGAGAGAAATCATTGCCCCTTTTCATAATAATCATAAGACGGGATATGAAAGGGTTTTGGCCCAGGCTGGATACTGTAGTCAGTAAAGCCAAGGAGCTCCGATTTCCCCAAACCCTTAGGAATCTACCTCTAGTGCCAAACAAAGACTAATGGGCTACCTGTACATCTCTAATGCCCCCCTTAGGTTTCATCCCAAGCCGAGGCTACTTATGTGCCTCACTCCACGTGTTCCACAGAGAGATTGCCGGCCCCAGGGTGGAGATGCCACGCCCCAGAGGGTCGGGGGGTGTCTCTCCCCACATTCTCAAAATAAAGGTTATTTATATTTCATACTTCTTACCTTTTCAGCTGCCGCCATTCCCTCGCCACAGTTCTATCAAATAGATTACATATTGTTACCTTAGAAATAGTTGTTCAAGTTACAAAATTAAAGCATATAAAGTGGACTTTCAAACGGGGGGACTGGAAACAGTTTTGTTCAATGATCCAACAAAACACAGTAATATGGTTATCTATCTTATACCCTTAAATATATATGTAGTTATATTCTTTAGAGCACTTTCTTTTCCTTTTGTTTGTACAATGACAATTAAACATTGTGGGTTTTATTACTCCCACAGTTCCTATTACTTTTTTGAAAAGAGTAAAACCAATGTGACATAACAGAACAGAGTCAGTCAAATCAAAAGGATGGACATAATAGATAATGTAAAAACAAAATACTAGGTGATCAACAATGGTTACCATACTGCCTCTTGCTATCTTAAAAAGAATTGCCTATATCATCAGTTATGATAAAATTGAACAAAACAATAAAGAATAAAACCAAAACACTGGAGACATTACAGGACTTTAAAAGAAGATAATAGTAAACCAGAAT